CACAACAGTCCTTTCTGAAACTCTACCCTCTAAACCCCAAATCCCACACTTTAAACCCTAAACTCTAAAACCCTAAACCCTGAACTCTAAACCCCAAGCTCTAAACCCTAAACCCCAAACCCTCAGACCTAGGAAAGTACCAATGCACCCCAAGGAGCTCAACTTTGGAACCACTTGCCTTCTGGAGCTCGCCCTTGAAGAAAGCTAGGCCTCGGGATTCTTTGAATTCAGGGCCCCAAAGCCTAAAGGCTGAGGGCTTTGGGCTTTTTAGGGTTTATGGTGTTTATAGGGTTCATAGGGTTTATAGGGTTTTTAGGGTTTTGGGTTTATAGGGTACATAGCGTTGATGGGGTCGAGGGTTGTTAGGGTTGAGGGTCTATAGGGTTTATAAGGTTTGTAGGGTTCAGGGCTTAGGGTCCCTAAACCCCAAACCCCGAAACCCTGAACCCGGGTGAAGGGCTGCGGGTTGAAGATTTTTGGGGTTCAAGCTTCAGGGCTTAAGCCAGCCGCACTCGCCCAAGCCCTGAAGCCCCAAACCCTAAAGGCCAATCCCTAAACCCTAACTAAACTAGCCTCAGAACCCCACTAACAATTGTAACTGTTGCTTATTATTAGGATTATAATAACCCAAAATTGAATCTTATTTTGGAGCCCTACAAATAAATCCTGAATACAAAAAACCTCAAGCTAGTGCAGACCAAAACCAAACCGCCATGGGAGTTCCTCAATCAGTGTCCATAGATATTGATCCCTTTCTAATCGCAGACCCCGAAAATGCACCCTTTCCTGAGAAACCCCAATTTCTTGAACCCTAAATGCTCAACCCTTAACTGCAGACCACCCTATGCAACCTTGTAGGCCCTTTGAGCCTAAACCCTGAACCCTGAACCCTAAAACCTGGGAACCTTAAAACCTGGGAACCTTAAAACCTGGGAATCAACAGGCATTCCCTTGTAACTCTTCAGAAGACCCAGCCGCTCTGTGACGATCCTGGCTTCGACAGCTGCTCCGTGATCAGCCGCAGCATTTCGCCCTTGGCCTCGCGCACCTCAAAAAATGGATCGGGTTTGTTTAGGCACCCTAAACCCTTAACCCTGGTTTAGTGTTTAGGATTTGGGGGCTTTGCGTGAAGGCTTAGTTGCTTTAATGTCAAGGATGTTTTCAGGTTCGTAATATCAGGTGGAAGCTTTTCTAGGACGCCTACGTACATAACCGCCCACTTAAAGAATCTCCTTGACCTAGGAGTTGAGGGTTTGGAGCCAAGGATTTAGGATCTGTGTGAGGAAGGTTGGGCCGGAATTGAGGTAGAAAATCGGGTGGCCATATGGCGTTTAACTTCAAACCTTGCAATAATGTCAAAGTGAATTTAACGCATGTTGAGAACAATGGGGACCATTCTTGCAGCGTTATTCGAGTGCACTCTTGCCGTGGGCTTTCCAAGTCGCACTCATCGCACTACTACCACGCCATCATGACTATTACTACATTCAGAAATACAAAGTAAAGCTAACCATCTGGTTGGGCAGCACCATCCGTGGGCTTCTCCATCCGCTGCTTTCAGTGTGCAAACGGTTGAGGGCAGACAGCCGTGAGCGTGATGGCAAACATGGCAGAATCTGGCAAGAAAGTTGAAAAACTGATGGGTCACAAGCAGTGGCACGTGGAATGACGTATCGTGGTACTACGTGCTTCCGTGGAACCTGGAACCCTAAGCCCCCAAAGCCTGGATCCCAAACCTCGCAACCGAAAACCCCAAGAAAAAACCAAACCCTAAACCCTGAACCCTCTATGGAGCTCAAGCGTCAACAATGAAGCCTGCGCTACCGGACCCCAGGGTTCTCACTGGCGGGTTTCTCCACGTTATGGGCGCGCATTTGGGGAGTCCAGGTCAATCTTACGAAATGCCAAGCCAGAACCTCGCATGATTTTCCAGCTACGTGGACCCTAAACCCTAAACAGACCCCTCTCTTTAGAAGCAGAGTTTTGGAGGCCTTATGACAAGAATCCGGCTGCTCTGGGGCAGGGCGTTTTGATGCCAGCAGCTCGAATCTTCACCAATGGCCTTTTACCCAGCAACCACCCAAGGATTGCGACTCTGAATCCTAAGCCCAAACCCAAACTAACCCCAGAGCCCTAAAACCCAGAACCGTAAATCCTGAACCCGAACTCAACCATGTCCCTGGCGCCAGCTCGCTCGCCGGTGAGGGCGGGGCCTCCATCGCCAGCCGATCTTCCCAGGAAGTCAGTTCTGCAATGAGCTGCCTCGGCCCCCAAATCCCAACGTAAATATTGGGGTTACATAGCAGTTGTATTGGAATACTGGAAAATAAAATGGAAACTACTACTTAGGGCTTGGGATTTAGGGCTTAGAGTTAAGAGCTCAGGGTTTAGGGCTTTGGGTTGAGGCTTTGGGGCTGTCGGCTCAAACGCTTCTTGTTTACTCAGCTGTCTATTAGAAACGACCCTAACCCAGAAACTCTACCCATAACCCCCCAAAAAGGGACCTGAGCCCCACATAAACTCTATATCACCAAGTATGCCTACTGCAGCTGTGAAGGAGTGCATCCCTGTCACTATGTATTTGCAGTAGGGTTTAGGGTCGAGAGAGAGAGAGAGAGAGA